GACTTGGCAGTGCTAGGTTAACGGTTGGACTCGATGATCTTAAGGGTCTTTTCCAACCTTAATGATTCTATGATTCTATGATTCTATATAAAGCCAATTCAAAATTAAGAACAAGTAAGTTTTGCTCAGTTAAAAGACAAAGCTGTGCACTCTCCTGAGTCTGCCCAAGGTATGCACAGCTGACAGCGCCATTACAGCCAGCTCTGCGAATGAGTTGCTTGGGCCCATTTACACAGCACAGTGTAGCACCATGTGAAGGTCTCGGCCATCAGCAGCTGGAACATTCGTATGTATACAGCAGCACCTTGTAGAAATACAAGCATGGGTCCTGGAAGCTGCATTAGCCAACCCACGCAGCATAGGGACATCTGACCTAGGCAGGGCTGCACTGTGCTCTGAACAGCATCTGCAGGGCCTCTGGAAAGCACCGCAGGGTGTCCACCCCCACCTCAGGCCCAGACATTTAGAGAGATGCCAAGGCTGTTTCACAAGTGTAGCACACTAAAAGCAGTTTCCCAGTGCAGTTGAGTCAGTCCCAGGGATAGCTGCCTTCCCTCTCCCCACCTCCTGCTCCTGCCCTTTCCCTGGCACAGGACCTTGCCCATCCCTCTCTGATGAGCAACTTCACAGTTGAGCCAGCCAGTAGTGGGACACTGTACAGTTAGGGAGTTGTTGGTTGGTTGTTTTTTTTTTTTAATTCTTGTTTTGTTTTGTTTTTTTTTAACTCCTTCTTCCAGCCCACTCTGGGGTGATTAGTGCTGGTGCAAGGGAGAAGATGGGAATCCACAGAAGTGGACTGAGTTCATGTGGGGAAGAGAGCCAGTGTCAGTGTCAGAGAGCTGTGAGACCATTTCAAGCTGCAATTTGATAATATAGCCAAGTTGGCTGCAGGAAAATACTGTAACAGAGATAAGTATTATTAACTTAGCAGCTGGTGGTATTTCTCTACGCGTAACATTCTACAGGAAACCCACCAACAAATATTTCTGTTAAATCATAGTAGTAACAACAATCTGTCTGACTAAAAGGAAACATGACTTTCAAACTTATGTAATATATACATTTGAAACCAGCACTCTCTGGTATGTAGCAATGATAAGTCATCAGTTTTCAAAAATGGATTTCATTGCTTAGAGTTGTAAGTATGGCACAGCAGTCTTACAAGCAGCAAGCTGTTGTTACCCTGCAGTGGTGACAACTGCCTAGCAGGCACACAGTGCTTGGTACATGGCTGGCAGAAAGTGAATTCCCAGATAGAGGTATTTCACAGCAGAGGTAAGCAAGTAGTTGTTAAAATTAACTACATGTCATGCAGCTACTGCTACTCATTAAAATAAGCTAAGTACACAGACAATCTAATTCAGCCTGTTCTTACTACATTTAGTGTTGAAACTCCAAAGAATGAACAAAACATGTTCATATGACTCCTATAAAATGAAATTAGGATGTAATCCCATGAAAACGAACATACTTGTTCAGCTGTTTTCTGTTTCCCCTTAATTGACAACAACGAAGCAACAGCAGAGGTTGTATTTCCCACCTTCTGAAACAATTAGCTCACAGCATCTCAAATAAGAACCAGATTTTGTTTGGTTGGCTTCCTTTTTTATTAGGAAGAATGCAGTTATCCTCATTTAAACTGGCTAAGATGTTCATACCATTCTTTGTAATGACTGCATCTCAAAAAGATAGGTGTCAAATGCAATTTTTAAAGTATCAAGGAATAAACAAATCCATGGAAAACCTTGTTCTACAAAATGCATGCAAACTGATCTTCCAATAACACCCTTTTTTGTCAATGGGATTAAATTAGCAAAGACTCTTTCCTAGCTGACCTTCAAATAGTGTCCCTTTTTGTCAATGGAATTAAATTAGAAGAGAGTTTTTCCTAACATTAGAACAGAAAGATATATATAAGTAAAGGGAAGCAAGAAAAACAATATATTTAGCAGTAAACTGACAGTTTTCACTCCTGAGTAACTGCAGTTACTATTTAGTAAAATGGCGCTATGTTGAATTATTTATTTCCGGTTAAGTTCCTTTCACCTGACAATCTAAAAAAAGATTTTTGAAACAGAAAGCTTAACAGCAGTAACTTTCCTCACAATGTATCTTGCATGAGTCTTGTGCACAGTTCCTTGAGCTAGTGATCATTTCTCAGTATGACAGGCAGAAGCTTAATGGTGTACTCCTAATGGAAATTATTAGATTTTTTCCATATCTCTGAGTCAGTAACACACCTTTTTCCATATATTTTATAATAAATATTGGGAGAGTTTGGCAGAAATCAGGTAAGTGACTCACCTTCTTCTAAAGGAACCTCTTCCTCCTCGCAGGGAGAAGGAAGGAGGGGCTGCAGAGGTTCCATGTTGATTATGAGTTGCTTGTTCAACGAGGGAGAGCTGCGACTCTGGGTAATGCTGGTTCTAGAAGAACAGGGAAAACAGGGTCAGTTTATTCACAGGGAAACAACTGCAGTCCAATACGTCTCATCTCAGAATTGTTTTGCATAAACTACAACGGGACTTGAGCTATCCTAACAAGCTCTGTACACTGAATGCTGCTTTCAGCTGTGTTATGTTGCACCCTCTGCAGACATAAACCTTTCAACATCTGAGGTGTAAGAGAAGGTTTTGTGCTGGTTTACTTCCCTTTACGCAGCCTGACTCCTTCCCATCTCATGCAGGATTTCAGTGTGTTGCTCCTCTCCACACTGCACAGCAGACATGAGTATTTGGCTTCAAGGAAGGGGAAGGTAGAGATGGTACAAATAATTTTCCTGATGTTGTTCCATTGCCTCTGGGACTGGGTAAAGGATTTGTTACGGTCTGAGCACTGCAGACTGAAGAATAAAGCAGGAACAACCATATCGCTTCAGTTAACTGATACACGGTGCTCTCATTCTCACGCACCCTGGACACTGCCTCTACACCATGCCTCCAAGTTACTCAAGGTGGTTTTCTTTCTTGTCTTACTTGGCTCTAACAGGCTTTCCTGGTAGCAAGTGTTTCTCAGGAAAGTTTGAGGAATGCTATTGATTCGCTTCAGTCACGATGCTCATTAGCCTAAAATCATATTGCTAAGAAAATAAAATGGCTCTTTAGAATAAGTTATCTAGCACTTACATGATACAGGCCTTAAGCAAGAATCCTGCAATAAATCTGAACCATTACATTACAAAATACTTACTTTTCACAAAAGCAAAGATGAAAGGGAAGAGGATTCTACTTGACTTCAAATGGTACATAGGTACAGTGCTGATGTTACACAAAATGCATTTCAAGTTTGCACAAAGACTCAACTTACAATTCCACATAGATAAACAAACTGAACAAAGCACCTATTGCAAGTGAAAAGAAGGGACTGTGTGTTGCTGAGGGTTTAGGTAAACTCGGGACACAGATGTCCTACTTTAAGTCACATTACATGTCATTAAATCTACTGTGGGGATAAACAAGCTTTCTTGCTCAATTGCCATGATTCCTTGCTCATTAACGTATGCCCAGAGCTACTTATGTCCTCATTTACATTCTATGAGCAGTCTCTAATAACTATTTAGTTTAAATTTTCACTATCCAAAGAAGTTTTTCACTCAGATTACTGTAATTACAATCACTCCAACACAACAGTACCTCCACAGACTTGTTATGCATCCCCTGGACCTTTGTGCTTGCTGTAAAGAGCCATCAAGCAACTCCCAAAATAGGAGTTGTGCCTGGCAGCACCCATAAGACTCCTATTCCATACTTATTTACAAAGATCCCTCCTTCAGGCATGGCCTGGAAGCAAAATATTAAATCATTCACTGTGTATTTGTCAGAAGAACTTGCCACCGCATTAATGCTGCATAACTACACGCTCCAACAGATTTTCAGTCTGTAGTGCTTTAAATGTTATATCCAAACATAAAGATATTGAACAGTACCTCCTCACAACTGCATGTTTCTTTCTCAATGCACCCATCGTACCACTGAAGTGACTTTGAGGGAGGGGATGCAGGGAGAGAATATAGAAACACTTTAAATTATTAGACTTTTTCTTAGTCTTTCTAAGAAACTGAACTTGGAGCAACCATAACATTGTAAACACAAGCATTTTAAGAAGGTTAATCATAAAAAATATACATTACTATTTATGGGTGTTAAATTCATATGCAATCACTCTGTACACTTATTTGCCCTTTGATCTGTTTCTTTATGTACACTAAGAGTTTTAAACAATATGTTTAAAATACTTTAAATACTGAAAGTAAAAAAAAGTAAAATGAAAGGTAAAGAATAATTTTACATGAAAATATTTTCTTATGTTATGGAAGAAAGAAACCCTATGGAAAGTAGGCAATAAGTTATTTCCTTATGTGAGTAATTATTTTCATTTAAAATGCATTTGTGTGCCCAAGTAATCTACCCTGCCTCAATGATGGACCTATATTCTGCCTTTCATGTTCTCAGTTAACACATTCTGGACCATCACCTACCCCATTTTTAAATGTAATCTGCAAAAGCATGTTCAAAATCATCCTTGCCTGGCCTTACTATTAATTACATAGTAGGGCTGGACAATGTATTTATAAATATTTGCTGCAAATATATTCCTACCCTTTAGTAAATACAATCCACTTTTCTCTCAAATATAGATGGAATATTCATATTCAATTAAAAATAAAAAACCCACACACACCCAATCCCTGAAAAAAATCACAATAAAAATAGGGATATGGATGTAGAATGTCCAGAAAGTTAAGTAATTTTTTTAAAAAGTTTTTAAATAGCTTTTTCCTGCTGGCCTCTTTCTTCTCTTCTGAGGGATTTTAATTAGGTTCTTATCAATTTTCTCTATCACTACAATGAGTGACAAGGACCAGAAAGTATTAGTTTGCTTAAAAAGTCCAGCTGGTTATTTCTAACATGCCAAACCTTTTTTTTCCAAAAAAAAGATTCTCTGATATTTTTTCTCTTTACTGAATGAACTTCTTGCTTTTTAATCTCACTGTATTATGGAAAAACTATCAAATATACCTTTAAACATACCCATATACATACACAAAACAGAATCCTTCAAAATTGCACAAGAACTCTGAATGAAATGAGAATGTACTTTTCTGTCAGGATCATGTAATAACAGTTCATGTCATAACACAGAAAATAATATAAGCTACTTATCTGACTGATTGATTAAACCCAGCTTCAACGCAGCATAGATTAAGTTCCCTTGTGTAGGAGACAAATGCTATTGTCAGAATTTTGTAACACCGGCAACACATATTTCCCAAGGCTTGCAGGCTTCATTGTGGAAGCTCAGGATGGCAGTCATTACATCTCACAATAAAGGAAAGAGAGTTTCTCTGTGGAGAATAATAATCCTCCTTAGTCCTTAAACTTTAATTGGAATGTCAAGACATACCTGTGAACTTCAGGAGGTTCCCTCTGGATTTTAGAGCTTGCCTCCACAACCTCTTTGGCTACTTTCCCACTGCATTAAAACATGAAATAAATATTCAAGCAAATACTAAAATGAGCTCATTACATGCCAAGCACTATATGTACATGAACAATTAAGTTACATTAAAAAGAAAAAAAAGGAAAAGGCAAAAAAAATTCCCGTGTAGTGGATATATAATGTCCCAAATTAAAAATTCTGCTGACCACTTGTGTGCAAAGCTACTGGAGAAAAAGCAACCTTTTGTAGTAGAATGGTGAACTGTCCCACTAATGCACCCCTGGTCCAGAGCTGCCCAGTTACAGGGGACATACAATCTCTACACTAGCCATGCATCCTTGTTTTTACAGAAACTGCATCAAAAGGGGAGCCCTGTTCTGGTGAAACTGCTCTTTGACAGAAGTCTGCATGAAGCCTCCAATTTATTTTATAAGTGACACTAAAGAGACAACAGAAGATCTTTCGAATCCTGACCTGGATTAGATGTGAACAGGCCCTCAAGAAGGAAAAGCCTTCAACTTGCCATGAGTAATTACTGACATTTTCTCTTACTTTCTGAAATGGTTTACCATGAAAAACAAACAGCAAACACCCACCTATATCGAAATCTACTGCCTTTAAAAACTATCTTGCTGCTGGACATGGTCTTGATCTGACTGGATTTTGCATACCTTGAAGAAAAAGAACAGAGGGTGTCACATTTTCAGCACAGAAGGAACCTGATAAGAAAAAATGAACAAAGCCAACAACAAGCTTTGTTAGTTTTATACCACAAAGTAATAGTCAGTAATCAGGCTTTCCAACTTTTTTTAAGGCCTTTATACAAATTAGAACATAAAGCATACATAAAACAATTCAGACAGCACAGAACAACTGAACATAAAACAAGTGATTACTTGGATAGGAAAGCAAGAAAATTAAATGCCGACACTTGCTGCATCTCTAGGGACTTTCATTCACAGGATGAAGGAAAGACCATGGTACACCAAAAGTCCCTAGCACAAGTTTGCCCTAACACTACCTTGTTTGTGGGAAGATATGGCTATTTCCACTTTCCCACTAGTAAAGCAAATAACAGAAATAAAAGAAATAATAAAGAAGTGATAAGACTTGTCTCCAAAAGCAGTTGCATTTCCGATGTCTCTATACAGTCAACTTCTTAATAGCCTACATCATATACTACTGCTTCTTTCTAATGATGAAGTACACAGCAACCTTTTATGACAGTCTTTTATCACAAAGATCATGGAGGAGTATCTCAGACACATCATGTCCTTGATGTTCTCTGGCTTCAAAATGGCAAATTGATTTCATATCGAGTCGCTCATTCCCAGACACTAGTAGACAATCTTTTATGATTTATATCTTCTTGAAAATAACCACAACAGTCAACCCTGAGCCTGGATCAAGACAGGAGTAAAGCTCTGTTTTTCAAGACGTGCCAAGAGATCATGACCCTGTCTTAAATTCCAAGTCTGAAGCTCTTCTAAGCAGAGGAGAGGACCAAACCTAATTAAGGCAAAGTGTCATTATCATGAATTACTTACACAACCTGGCTACGTCTGTTCTAATTAGAATATCTTGTTGGTATAGAGAACATAGACAGGATTTATCTAATGTTCTTAAGTAACTAACAGTCCATGCTGTATAGCTCAGTTTCTCCAAAATGTATGAAAACTTTTGCTGTTTCAAAACTACTATCCTTAGCCTTTATTTACAGATTGCTTTGGCTTCAGTTTCATGTTTAGAGGATTGTGGTTATTTTTCTGCACTCTGCATGCTCCCATTACTATTTTCCAATCTGTTAGCCAGGTTCCTCTCCATTGAATATCACTACCAATCTTCATTTTACTAAAGTAGTCCTCTTTAAAGACCCACCAAAATCGAAACAGGCAAGCATAATTTTAAACAATCATGTTAAACAAATAACCCCACAGTAGTGCCCTGAAGACATTTGAAAAGTAGAAAAAAAATTGAGAGAAGCAGCCCTGCAGACACCAAGGTCAGAGAAGGAGGAGGTGCTCCAGGTGCCAGAGCAGAGACTACCCTGCAGCCCATGGAGAATACCATGGCGGAGCAGGCTGTCCCCCTGCACCCCATGGAAGACCATGCCAAAGCAGATATCTACACTGCAGCCTGTGGAAGACCCTGCAGTACAGCAGGTGGACATGTCCTGAAGGAAGCTGCAGCCCCTGGAGAGCCCACACAGGAGCTGGCTCGTGGCAGGAGTTGTGGCCCATGGGGAGGAACCCATGCTGGAGCAGTTTGTGAAGGGCACTGGAGCAAGGGAAAAGCGTGAGGAGGAAGACGCAGCAAAGAGAAACTGCTATGAACTCACTGCAACCCTCATACCCCATCTCCCTGAGCTGCTTGGGGCAAGGAAGATATAGAGGAGTTGGGAAAGAAGGAGTGAAGTTGAGCCTGGGAAGAAACAGGGGAGGGGTGTTTTTAGTTTTGTCTTTATTGTCATTTAAAAACAGAGTAGTCAAGTCTGTTTTGCCAGTGACAGTAATTCCTGCCTTAATCCCAACCCATGAGCTTTTTCGTCTTATTTTCTCTCCTTGACCTGTTGAGTACAGAGAGAATGAGAGAGCAGCTGAGTGGGCATCTGACACCTAGTCAAGGCCAAACCCACCACAACCATGTATTTGTGACCAAAAGCCAAGCAGTTAATATTACAACCATTCAACAATAAGAGCAGAAAGATGATATTCCTACGAGTCTCCCTCAGACATTTTTACTTCAAGCACTAATTTCTCTCCTTTGGGTGGGAATTGTTTCCTATTCCCTATATTTATTTCTAGTAACATAAAATAAAACTGCTCGAACACCATGCACTATTTTCCTACTTACATATACTTCCAATGGAAAACACTTCCTGATAATCTTTTTATTAATCCAGTCTCAAACACAGTAGATGTTAACACAGAGAATTAACAGCTGTATTGTGCCAGCTCATATTTCTTGTTTCTTCATTGAATATATCAATTGAATAGATTATATTGATATATTATCGTATCACTGTTGAGATTAAAGAAGGAATCTTCTCCAAAATAGAGCAGGTCATTAACATCCATGTTAGAAGACATGTTCTTCCTACTTAGTTATTATCTACCCTTAGAGCAGCCTCCTGGTGTTGCTATGTTCCAACACAGAAACAATATTTTTTATAAAATAATCAAGATGCTGTAAGGAGACACTAAGTAGGAAGAATAAAAGCTACATGCCTAAAGGGAAGCATCAATAAACAGATCTAACAAAGCCAATGGAGGGCAGAAAGAACACATAAAGGCTTTTTAACGAGGAATTACTTTCAGGTTCTCTTTTAGGGAACAGGGAGGAAGATACTCCTTTTTCTTGTCAATTTAGAGGCTTTTTTTTTTTAATTAGATGGCTGGCATCTTTCAAAATGTACCTAAGAAAATTTCTTTTTTTCTTTTTTCAATCATTGCAGAGAATTTTTTTTTTCAATCAACTTTTAGTAAACCTTGGATTTCAAGTAGGAGAAGATTACCTACCAGCAGAAGAGCCCAGAGAATCAAGCATAACATTGTTTCCTCCTTTCTCAAGGTATTCAACAGCAGGGCTAAGATTAACAACTATGTTCCCAGACACAAGTGCAGTACTGTGTCCATCCAATGTCACACTATGGAGTGGCAAAAACAGTGTGCTGGAAAAAGTGTAATTATTCACTGCCAAACCCCTCTTGCCTCATTCAGATTTTAAACAATTTATAATACAGGTCTGAAATGAAATAATATTCCCCATTAACTTCCATATTTTCTGTTTGCATTTTGAATTCTGTTAATGAAATGGAGCATTTCACATTGAACAATCTTCTACTCATGCACGTTTTTTTACTTTTAGTATAGATAATGACTTCAGGTTTACGTACTTGTAAAAAGCCTGGTTCTCCACCCCACATTTCCAAAGATGCTTGCAGGCTGCTGGTGTAGAGGTATGGAATGAGAGCACAGCCTTTTTCTAAGTGCAAGGAAAAGAAGGCAAATAAAAGTAATTAAAAGGTTGAATTCTCCAAGATTGAAGGAGCTGTACCTGACAGCATCACCATGAACCGGATACGCTGAAGACCAAGTTTTCCTGTGTAGCCTCTATCTGTCACCCACAGAAGTACAACCCATACATAGCTGACATTTAAACTGCCCAGGCACTTGTTTCAGAAATAAAAGGGGATGCTTTGGAGAGGGCAGAGAAGAGCAGATGTACCAGTAGCCTGTAGAATAAATCTGTACTGTATTCAGGCCAAAATCAAAGGAGGAAAGTCTCTATGTTCAATATTCCACATTGCACAGTTGCTGCACTACTTACCATCCACTTCTCCCTGCTCCCTATGTCCTAACATCAGATCTTCCTTCCAACCACACAAACAGTCCCTGATACCTCTGGCATTATTTCTTTCTTCCATTTTCTATTCATCACCTAGACTGGATCCAAAGCCTTAATCTTGGGCTATATCACTCTGCCCTAGGGGAAGAACTGATTATAGCATGCTGTAGGCAAAAATCTCTATGATTTCAATGGCAAGAGCCCAATGATCGGACTCCTAACTACCTAGGACAGACTCCAGCCTATTTACCTGACCAAGATTTGAGGAGATGATCATAAGTAGCCAAAAATACTTCACATTTATCCAAGTATCAAGGCCCACCTGAATTTTCAATCATATGCAGATGTTGGTCATGCCTTAGAGTGGGTGGGTGCAGCTTTAGCACTTTAAAATCCATTAAAACTTGACTACACAGATGACCAAACCCATGAGCAATCAACACAGCACTGTATTAATGTTAAGTGAGAAAAGTCTCAACCCTTTGCAAATTAGACACTCTTTTGACAACAGCAATATTCACATTCACTCATATTCTATATTTTAGTTACAATATAAAGTACGATTATTGATTGTTTAGAAATTTGTTTCGGTAAAAAATGATGTTATGTTATTGTTGACTCTAAATCAAATACAGAAGTTCTGTAAAAATATTAAACCTGACCTCTTTCTGAGCTCCAAACACATAAAAAGTCTTCCCTTCAAATTTCAGTTTATAGACATCACACCTAGAAAGAGAAAAATCATTTAAGTACAGGAAAAACAGACAGATCTACAGGTAAGAAAAGCAACTTGCATGCAAGTTTCCCTGATTCCCAAAGTCAAACAGGCTGTCAAGTGACAAAGAGCCTCAACAGACATCTTACAACCTTTAGCATAAAAGCATTTAATATTCTAATTTTCTTCAGAGCAGAGAACATAATCCCAGAGTATTTCTTTTACATCCCTACGCACCTTCAAAGAATTAACTTTGGCTGCTGGAAAATGAAGAGGAAATTAAAAGCAGGCAGAAGCTTATGTTTACATTCTATTTATTACACAGTTTGTAATTCCTCTTATTTCTTAAAATCTTGGAATTTCTAATGTAATTAAATTGAGGGAAAGAATACTTTTAGCCTGCATATGTTGCATAAGAAGGCATACAACTTTCTAGATACAGGCACTTTTTACCAGCAACATCTTATCTCTATCCTTATTTATTTGTGGTTTCATATCACACATCTTTGTAACTGACTACTTACAGACAGAACACAACAGGAAGGAAAAGAAAATGTTTGACAGCACTTATTACTGGGGCCTTGTGAGTTGCAAACCTATGTCAAAATTTAATTTAACCAAGGTTGAAAGCACAATCTACGTAGGGAATAGCAGTGCACCACATAAAGGCAATACGATGCCTCTGCTTAAATTGTAATGGAAATTTTGTCATTAGTATAGTTAAAATGGAGACACTGCAGTTTTTCATAAACTTCTTTGAAGATTTTGGATGTCAGATGGTTGAAATGGGAATGATTCTGGAAGCATGAACAATGCTATCCTGGAAACTTTATAACAAAAGTTTTGCTTTAACATTAAACAACAACAACAACAAATCATTCCAGTTGGGAAAGCTTTTCCATTGAAAAGGAAATCTCAGATACAAATTTGGATTTTTTACTGTGTAGTGCAAATTTCAGCTAATATCAGTTAAAGCTACTAGCACTCACTTCTAGGTCTCAAAAATGAAAGGAGCACACAGATAAATCTCACCAGATTGACCTTCCAACGGCCAGCGTAACACTGAGACAGCTTAATGGCTTTTCCTCCATCACTATTTCATTTTGTATCTGGTTTACATGCCAATGGACTAAATGAATACACCAAGATCTCCGAAGCGACAAGTTAACCTTGACTAACATTAAAAACTAAGCATTGCAAAACTCATTTGCCACAGTATGGTGGATACATGCTTGGCAAGTGCTATTCTCTTCTCCCTGCATCGTAGACTGACATTACAGTTACGCTGTCCTTATGTCCTTACGTTAGCACAAACCACTGAAGCACTGTGATTAGGGCTACCTGAAATTAACCCTAGGGAAGCTACATCACAAATCCAGGATCACAAATCAATGGTATTTGACAGACATGTCCCTAGAGCTCCACATGGAACTGAATCGTACAGACAGAACTACACTGACTTTATACCTCTGAGGATTTCAGATTAGTCAGCTCTCGGGGAGGTTTCTGTGGATATGCAGCAAAGAGCCCAGCTCCACACAGAAAAACACCTCACCATTTCTTCACCTCCTGCCCATCATTGTCCCTTCCACAAGACAAGCTGGGAGTGCTGAAGGAGAGCAGCCACATCTAAGTAACTGCTGTTGGCATCTGTTTAGCAGCAGGACTAAAACAAGATTTATCAATGTATGAGCATGACTATGCTCACTCTGCACCACATGGCTGAGAGCATGGCCAGCTGCCTTTACACCACCTGTGGGAGCTCGGTTTTACCTCTCCCTCAAACGTGGCCGAGGCTGCCCAATTAAGTTAAATGTTTTACAGAAGCAGAAAAGAAAAGCAAAGCCAGGCAAACGAATGACAATTGCCTAAATGTCCACATCTTAAAAAAAAGAGGCTAAAAAATAAAAATTCAAAGGTATTCTCACCTCCTCCTCTGCTTACCAAATAAGTTCTTTTATAGTTTTCAAATTGAGGTTAATTAAATGAGGAAATATCAACATTTCCAAGAGTGACAAATAAAGATGCAGGTGGACTCTTGTAAACTCTTCCAGACATCTCTGCCAATAAGCCTCACTGGTGATTTACAGCATAGTTGAAAAATCAACGCACTCATTTTTAGCATTTGTGCGTTATGTTGACTAATGCAACGTGTGGAATAATTTTCACTGAGGAAGAACGGGACCAAATTATTATTATCCTGCTTCTCATCTAAGATCCTTTAAAACAGAAACATGATGGGGCAAGAGAAGAAATATTCATGTGGTTCACCTTAAAGACAACAAATGCAGGCAAAGATATTAGGAAGAAGGGAATACACAGGAGAAAAGACTCTTGCGTATTAATCTACTCTTACTTCACATGCTTACCATTTTAACAAATGAATTCTTTTATTCCCCTGGAAAACTACAAATCCTGCAGCTGTGAATCCTAAAAATGTAGTCGTCCCCATTGAGTCCTTGAAAGAGAAAAAAGAAATATAATTTTCCCTTCATCCAGTGAGGTATTTCTTACTGATAGCATGAATTGTTACCACTATAGATTACCTTTGTTTTGTTTTCCTTTTCAAAATAAATTTTGCCTTCAAATTGTACACTTCTAAAGAACAAAGACTGCTCTTGGCAACACAGGCCTCATTTGTTTCTAGGCATTTAACTGAGTAACAGCATCTTCTGCTTTGTTTCTGTCTACCTGTAGCTGATGGCAATGGGGAATCCTTGGGTATACTTACTCATTTTGTTGAAAACATACTTCCGTGTATGTCCCATTCTTAATGTGCTGACTAACTACAAACCAGGGATTCGTATCTGCTTCGACACTGATGTTTTTTAAGATTTCACAATACATTGTTCCTCTGCAAGATGTTGTGTTGGAAGTACTGCTGACAGACAGCATTTACTACAATAAGCAAGTACTCTTGAGTACAAACTAGAACATATGGTGATACTTGCCTTTCAAATAGGAAAGACTTTTTTTAAAATTTTTAATTCCACAATAAAAGTTCTGGCTGATAGTTTTTGAGCAATACCCAGGTGAGTTTTGTATTAACTGGATTTCCTGTCCATCCCAAGTGCCAGACCCTCACCTTGCTAAAGTTAGTGAACTTTATTGTGCTTTGTGTTCCACCAATAAAATAAGGGGGAACAGAAAGAGTGATGCTTCTGGAGTAGCAGCCATAGCACTGGAAGGAGCACATCGTAAGGAGCCAGGGGAGCACCTTGCTTTGCAGTTCACTTCCAGAAGACTGAAAAATTTTCCTTAAGGACGGGCCGTGAACCCCTGCATGCCCCCGCACTACAAACCCTGCCACACAGGTAAAAAGGAAATTCTGAGCCAGTTTTGACTCTGTCCTAAGTGCCAACGTAAGTCTCTGGGATGCCCTCTGAAAACCTTCAGTATAGTTTTGAACTAAAGTTGACTAAGTAGCTGACTTCACTGAGCTCTGAACCAGACCCTGTATTTCACACAGGACCACCATTCCCAGCAAAGTATATATGGAATCTGATGCAGCTCTGTGTTAGAGCTGACTGATTAAGGGTGCTCACCACCAGAACAGCTAACTGGACAGCACTGCTGTTCCACCAAATGAAATTATATACCAGCCACAGTAAAAGCAGCAAAAACACGAAGCAAGTTACACTAAAAGCAAATACTGCAGATAATGCAGTTAAACCAAGTAATTAAAAATGCAGGTGTAAGGCATAATCAGAACTGGTAACTAAAATCACCTTCTTATAGACTACCACAAAACAGCAAAAAGTGGAGGAATATGCAAACGTATATCCGGTTCTCCCCTCTGTACATTTGGTTTGCTGTTCTTCCGAAGATTTGCATATTTTGATGGTGTTTGAAAAACTAATCTGCCAAGGACTAACAATTTGTTGCACCTTCTGGACAAGAATAACACTGGATCCTGAAAAACTTGGCAAACAGAATATTTCACACCTGGAGTATTTAGAGAAACCTTTGCATTAAATGCAAAGAAATTATGAAGTATAATCAAAGCTTTTGTTATGACGGTCTACTACATTCTCCTATGATGTTCTGCTTCCTCTGGAGAAACCCTTCCTTTGACTGATGTAGAAATGTAAACCAATGTTCTTCCAAGGCTTAAAAGTAATATGTAGTTCCAGGGCAAGTTCTTTTACAAATTACGCCCTATTGGTGCCTGGATAAAAAACAGAGCTAAATCAATTCAATTAATGGCTTCTTATTAAATGTTAGTAAAAAGAACTGTTACCTTGCAAGGGTGAGGATCAACACCATAGGTTTCCAAAGAATATGCTTTTAGGAGCAAGTTAAATTCAGCGACAGCTGGGCTCTGACCTCTGAAATTACAAAAGAAACAGTAGTTTTACAGCAAACAGAAAATAGGAGAAAAAGACTTTTTGACTGAAGGGTTTAAATGCCTAAAAAGGGTGGAAAGACAAGTTCTTACTGAAATATATTCTATTTCTAAACTACTTCAATCATGTTCTGTTTATAATATAAAGATAGAAAACTTTTCACGTTTTCTCATGCTGAATTGTACAGTGCCTGCTGTTTTCAGGGAAATTCTGATGTTTTCTCAATCCTGAGATAATATGTTATGCAGTTAACCAGAGTTATCCAATATCCTGCAAGTATCTGTTGTCTTTTGATATACATGCACATCAGCCTGAATATGAAATAAACCTCAGAATCTTTTTTCCACAAACTCTTGCTCTCCAACTTGTTTAAAAGCATTGTGCAGATTAACAAACATTCCTTCCAGTGCAGGGTATAAACATGGCAATCATATTACACTGTCTACTCAGATGCATGCCTAATTATAGCAGTGCCTGTTACCATCATGATAGTTCAAAATCTGTCAGCATTTCCATTATATGCTCCTATTTTTAGGGTGTCTATAATCAACCAGGAATATACACTAAAGCCTGAAACACGGCATGCAAGACTTGAGTTCTAGAGTAAGTTTTACTATTTGATTTTTGCTCTCCTAACTAACACAGATTTTCAATGCCTGTTTGTCAGTGAACTGTTCCAAGTATTATTTTATTCATGTATTTACATGACTAGAGTATGTCATTCTGATAGATAATATGGTTTTGTGACAATGAGCAGTGCTTAGGACCTTTAGAAAGCCAGGCCTCATAAATGCTTCTCATGCAAATCATCCAAAAAATGAGCCATAGACAAATCTGCAAGGAACACAGCAATAGTCATACTTTATCTTACCCCTCCATTTTGGGGTCCAGTCTCACACTGTGACCAATGGCACTCAGGAATTGGCCTTTAAAAACTGCTCTGTGCACTGGTGTAGAATAATTTCCCTGTAAGTCTGTTATCCCCCAGTAGCTAGAAACCAACAAGCATTGACATAAGAGATTCAGTATCCAGCCCAAAGTTCAGTTTAACAATTAAGAAAATGTCTAGCACGCTTGTGGATGTCAAATCCTATTTTGAACCTACCAAGCTGATGCCCTGTGGCAATCTAAGTGTCAATAACCTCTTCTGTTACAAAGTTTTAATTCATGCTCATTTGTCCTTCACTGCTTATCATCTCCCAGTCAATCCCATGATACTTGGCTTCTTTGGATACTTGGATACTTTGGATACTTGGATATTTTGGCTTCTTCCACATGTCTTTTGGTCCTCCTTGATACTACACTACTTGCACTTTATTTCAGATCACATTTTTGTTGATGTTTAGCTTTTAAATAATAAAAACCACATGAGATTAGAGAAGAAGTGCCCTTCTTGCTCCTTCTTTTCTTGCCCTCTTTCTCACCACTTTCCAATGGAGAAGAATATGTAACAAATGGAACACCAAAAATTGCAAATGTGCATTTACACAGCTAAATATTTAAGGGGAAGACAGCACAAAAGCAGCAAACAAAACAAAAATGCTTATTTTGCCCAATCAACTTTCTGATGGCTCTATTAAACTGTTTTTCTCCTTTTTCAATACCAATAAATTACAACTTTAAGTGTAATCACAACTCTAAGACCATAAATGAGCCTTAAAAATGCAACAAGTTTGTTTCATGTACCAACGAACTGCACTGGACAGAAGTAATTAACTAACTTGACCTAAATTACTTAGAATGCTTATGTTGTATAGTGAAAAGCCAAACAAATAGATGGTTTGGTCGTTTATTGGAAATTGGGCCTTACAGAAAAATAAGATCATAAACTGCATCTTTTCCCCACCTCCCTTTGCTGGTACAAAGGAAAGTAGTCAGTCTTCTGGTTTGAAAGGACCAAAAAGGGACAAATCATTTAGAACAACGTGATTTCAGGGTTTTGGCATTTCCAAAACAGAAAAAAATATTAAATTTCAGTTATGATTAAAGAGACACATTAAAAAAAATTAGCATGCTCTCTTCACCTATAGCCTCTGAAACTATGCTGTCTTTGTGCACATCAAGTGGAACAAGCTGTGGTACTTGGAAAAAAAAAGCAGAAGACATGGACGAGCTTGATCTTATCAGATTACAGGCTAATCAAATGGCTACTGTGCAAAGCCTTAAAAGAACATCATAAAGCAGAAGAGTCAAGGGCAATATCAAATGAAAAAATCCTCATTCATCCCTTATCAAGGGATTAATATTCAAGCCTTGATAATATGCTTTTCATCTGTAACTTAGCAATGAAATTTTCCTTACTAAATAAAAATGTAACTATAGCAAATCCTATCAGCAAAGAAAAGTCAACATTTCCTTTATCAGTCACTGATTTAACATTAGATATGCCTTTGATTGGCTTTGTTAAAAAGCCTTTAAGCTGTCTACATGCAACAAACATCCTTACACAAAAATGTATAGAGTTTCCTCACTTATGCACGTGTTTCAATTAATGCCTGTTACAGCGGAAAAACAGGGAATATTTAGACAGTGCATCTTTGCTGTTTTGTAACTCAGTTCTCTCAGGAAAGTCAGGTCTCTCTCTCTCAGTGCATTCACTCCTTTTGACCTTATATTACTTCCCAAATTTCTCAGTATGTATTCAGCATTAAATGCTAGATGTATTCCCTTTCCATATGTTGCAGCCACTATAGCACCCAGCTGCAGCATGCCAAAGGTTTTGAACAGGACCAGTAAAAGAAACGATTACAAGGAAAAGTTTCTGTGTACCATACAAATAATAAAATGTGGATTACTTGTGAAATTAGAGCTCCACAGTTATTAGCTACGAATTAATGACTCAACCTAGGAATCAATCCATCTAAATGTTCCTAATAAAATTTTAATGAAACAAAGACTTTAATAGAAGACTGAGAAGTCTGCAACATGTTCTGTTTTTTCCTTTAGGCTCATGAGAAGTACACGCTAGAGTATGCACAAGCTCTGTTTATTCCCCACAGGGCTCCCAACTCTGAAGCACTTCAAAGGCCAGGAAGCTCAACATGGGAATACTTCTAGGGTGTGCCACAGCAATGATCTACTTGTTTTGCTAGCTGCCCACACTGATTCACTCTAGAATTTTCTTCCCTTCATACCTTTCCTTTGAGGTATGTATCTGTTACAAACCAAAGTAGTGAAACTTAGTGAAAGTCAAGGATGAGATAGCACAGGATTGAGCATTAATACCTTTTAACAGAGAAGACTATACAGCAATAACAGCAAAGAAAAAGCATTTTCAATGCTATTCTCAGTTTCTTGCTTCCTGAATGACCTTGGTGAAGTCACTTCATCTATCTTCTCTGATTCTCTTACTGACTTGAAAAGTGCTGTGAGATACTACTATTAACATACTACTGCTAAAATGCATAACTATTCTCCATCCTTTTGTCTCATCTCTATGTCAAACAAAGTTACTTGCTGCAGAATATAACAGCAATACTGTACTTGAGCATGCCCCATGTACTGTACTTGAGCATGCCCCATGTACAATTTATTTCTGGGTATTTATGGTCTGTAGGGTGTTTGCATGTAATTAATTCAAAAAATAAACATGTAGGTATATAATGATCTGGCCCCTAGAAACATTACATATTCACCTCCATGCAAACCAGGGAAAAGTACCAGCCTTAAAGCTTTAAATAACATAGGCTCAGTCTCCATCAGCCACCCTTGGCCCAACTCTGCAACTGTTCACATACTTCACTGTAGTCTCAGAAGAGACCACAGTGACTATTTCAAGAAGGATTTCCATCTATAAAATATTCTCCTTGTTATATCCCAGATCTTGTACAGGACATCCCTCAGCAGAACAGGGTTACCTGGGTTTCCTTTTAACCTAAAAAAAAAGCTGGAATTCTGCATAAAGCATCAACATGTTTAGCTATACCATATACTGATCACAGAACTGCTTACCACATGGCTGAGGTTTTGCTGTTGTTTCTTTAAATCTTTTTACAGGTGGTTGAGACTCCAATTGCTATACAATTATAGTGCTAAGGTCTTGAGAAGTTTTTACTTCTCCTTTAAGCTCAGAAGATTTTGGCAGACAGTACAGATGTTTTAAAATACAGTCTGTCTGCTAGTATTTCTAGTCACGATTAAGGTGCTAAGGAGGACTATGTGGTATTGAAACACAAATCTGCTACAATTATCAGTGTTTCAGTTGTACTGGAGACAATAGTACAATGGTGGTGATAACTTCAAAGAAAAGCACTAAATGAAGACACTGGTAAACAAAATTGTGTTGTAGGTTGTGGCTCAGTTTGTCAGAATAACGAGGTCAGGCTTTGCACATTGCCCAGGCAGCAGCACTGCTCCCCTGAGAACTGCCCGGGCCACCAGCACCAGGGAAGGAAAAAACATTTAAATGGGTCTGCGTATGAAAAGATACCTTATCACCTGGCAAGTAGCTCTATTGCTGAAATGTTGCTGGAACATATAAAACTTAGAAAACTGTAAAACACTCAAATATCAATTTTAACTTAATTTTAACTTGCACTGCAAAATTGTTTTTTTTTCCCTGATAGACAGAATCTAGGATGAGAAAAACCTGAATAATCACTTTAAAACAATAATCAAACTCTTTTACTGAGTCTATTAAATGCTTATGGGTTTAATTTTACACCACACACAGTGTAATGACATGTGCCACTTACAAAACTCCATCTACCAGAACATTTCAAATTACTTGTGTCCTTCAGAGATCAGGCTGAGACATATCTCTGAAATCTGTGTTTAGGTATTTTTATTTCAACTTTACTTCATAAATTGATGCAGTGATGCAGACGGCTTTAAGCCTACTCAACAGACAGAATACATTTACAGAGCAGATGCAGTTTTAATTTACTTATTATTAATTAAAAATCTATTCCCATGATACAGAGACATCTACTGAGCTATCCGTTTTTAACATCACAGTAGATTCATCTTTCTGGTCCAGACAC